AAGTAATATGTTTACCTTACATTTCAAAATAGAGCACTGAAAACTTAAATTTGACAACACTTTATCTCAGGGTCGGCAACCTCTGGCACAAGTGCCATACATGGCACGTGGTTGCATTTTTTCTGGCACACGAAAGAAGCCTGGGGACATCCTTCACATCAACAAAGTCAGCTGGCCGCTGCTTGCAGCTGGCTACCCAGGAGCGAGACTAGCTGTTCCTTTCCCACCTCATTCAGCTTTCCTGCATTTAGCCGGTATAGGTACTTAGGTAACTGATATTTTGCTATTTTGATCTAGGGAATGTTGCGCCCCCCCGCTATGGATGCTGTTCCCGGACTGCTGAGCTGCTTCTCCCATCCCTCATGGGGTACTCAGCAGATCTCATCCTCCCACACACAGCTGAATCAGATTCTGTTACAGACTAAAAACTTTCATCCCCACAGTATATAGCTGCCTGCTATGCTGCTGCTCTCACCTGTGAAATCTCCAGATTGGAACAGTAGAAAGCTACAGAGGGTGTGAAGGTGCAAGAATTAGAATGAGCTGAGTTGATTAGGTGCATGAATTCAGCTGATGTGAGGTGTGAAGTCCTCTGACCCCAGACCTCTGCCCCATCCTCTGCTCCAATGACACCAGTCCTCTGATCCCAGACCTTTGCTCTGCTGAACCCAGACCTCTGATCAGTCCTCTGCTCCACTGACCCCAGACCTGTGCCCCATCCTCTGCTCCACTGACCACAGACCTCTGCCCCGATTACCCCACACCTGTGCCCCAATCCTCTGCCCCGCTGAACCCAGTCCTGTACCCTGCTGATCCCAAACCTCTGCCCCATCCTCTGCTCCTCTGTCCCCAGACCTCTGGCCCGCTGAACCCAGACCTCTACCCTAACCTCTGCTCCACTTTCATCAGTCCTCTGACCCGATGACCCCAGACCTCTGCCCCATCCTCTGCTCCACTGACCCCAGTCCTCGGACCACAGACATCTGTCCCGTTGATCCCAGACCTGTGCTCCAGTCTTCTTCCCCGATGACCCCAGTCATCTGCCCCATCCTCTGCTCCTCTGACCCCAATCCTCGGCCCTGATGGACCCAGACCTCTGCCCCATCCTCTGCTCCTCTGACCCCAGACCTCTGCCCTGCTGACCCCTGTACACTTCCCCACTGACCCCATCCTTTGCCTCTTTTGCCTGCACTGCTGAACCATGTTAGCTATTGGGTACTACTAATTTACAGGTGCGGGAACTGGGGCTGATGTATGAAGGCACAGGAATTCGGATGAACGGAGTTAATTAGGTGGAGGAATTCAGCTGATATGAGGTGTAAAGAATTGGGGTGATCTAAAGGTGTGAGGGTGCAGGAACTGGGGTGACCTGAAATCTGATCTAAAGGAATTGGGGGTGATCTGAGGGGTGATGGTACAGGAACTGGGACTGATCTAAAGGGTAAAGGTGCAGAATTTGGGGTGATTTGAGGGGGTGAAGGTGCAGAAATTGAGGGAGACCTGAAGTGTGATGCTGCAGTAATTGGGTTGATCTGAGGGCTGAAGGTGCAAGAATTGGGCTGATAGTGCAGGAATTGAGGGGCACCTGAGGTCTGCTGGTACAGTCATTGGACCAATCTGAGGCGTGAAGGTGCAGGAATCGGGCTGATGTGAGGTGTGAAGGTGCAGGAATCGGGCTGATGTGAGGTGTGAAGGTGCAGGAATCGGGCTGATGTGAGGTGTGAAGGTGCTGGAATTGATGTAGACCTGAGATGTGAAGGTGCAGTAATCTGGCTGATCTGAGGGTTGAAGGTGCAGGAAATGGTGTGATCTGAGGGTTGTAGGTGCAGGAAATGGTGTGATCTGAGAATTGTAGGTGCAGGAAATGGTGTGATCTGAGAATTGCAGGTGCAGGAAATAGTGTGATCTGAGGGTTGAAGGTGCAGAAAATGGTGTGATCTGAGGGTTAAAAGTGCAGGAAATGGTGTGATCTGAGGGCTGAAGGTGCAGGAAATGGTGTGATCTGATGGTTGAAGGTGTGGGAATTGGTGTGATCTGAGGTGTGAAGGTGTGATTATTGGTGGATGGTCTGAGGTGTGAAGGTGTGGGATTTAAGCTGATCTGAGTGGTGAAGGGGCAGAAACTGGGCTGATCTGAAGTGCGAAGGTGCAGGAATTAGGGTGATCTGAAGTGCAAACATGCAAAGCTCAATATTTATTTCTTACCATTATTCAAGTCATTTACAGCATTTACTATTTAAAGATTTTTTTTCTTGATTTATATGTGACGTGGACATTATGTTTAAGTAGCTGGCACTCTCAATTTCTTTGAAAACTTTTTCAGCACACTGTGCTGAAAAGTTTGCCTACCCCGGTTTATCTTTAAGAATTCCAAGCTTTTTTGTAAAATGTAACAAAGTTATTATCTGAAAACTGCAGTAACTTACAGCATTCTAGACAGAATTGAGGTAACTGTATTCTGAAGCTATAAAGCATTAAATCTGGTGTGTTTTGATCGGTTATTGTCCTTTGTAGATACTGTGCTTACTGATCTTTGCAATTAAACATGGCACATAACAAATATGACTATGTTCCAAATAATTTAAAAGCATGAAAAAATAGAACAAGAAATGATTACTATAGGGCCGGACTAAAAAAAAAAAAAAAAAAAAAAAAAAAAAAAAGACTATGAACAAGTGCGGACAGTACAGGAGATGACCAGAGACTGCAGACATAGTACAGGAGATGACCAGAGACTGCAGACATAGTACAGGAGATGACCAGAGACTGCGGACATAGTACAGGAGATGACCAGAGACTGCGCAAACAGTACAGGGGATGACCAGAGACTGTGGACACAGTACAGGAGATGACCAGAGACTGCGGACACAGTACAGGAGATGACCAGAGACTGCAGACATAGTACATGAAATGACCAGAGACTGCGGACATACAATGGCGGCGGGAATACTGGGTCGGCAGCTCCATAAGACGCACAGACATTTCCCCCCCAAGTGTGTCTTATGGAGCAAAATAGTGCCCCATCATTGGGGTCAGTGGGAGGAAAATTGCCCCATCATTGGTGTCAGTGGGAAGAATTGTGCCCCATCATTAGTGTCAGTGGGAAGTATCGTGCCCCATCATTGGTGTCAGTGGGAGGAATAGTGCCCCGATCATTGATGTCAGTGGGAAGAATTGTGCCCCATCATTTGTGTGTCAGTGGGAGGAATAGTGCCCCATCATTGGTGTCAGTGTGGGGGGGGGGGAATAGTGCCCCATCATTGGTGTCAGTGGGGGATGGGGATAGTGTCCCAACATTGGTGTCAGTGGGAGGAATAGTGTCCCATCATTGGTGTCAGTGGGAGGAGGTCCCATCATTGGTGTCAGTGGAGGAATAGTGTCCCATCATTGGTGTCAGTAGTGCCCCATCTTTGGTGTCAGTGGGAGGAATAGTGCCCCATCATTGGTGTCAGTGGGAGTGTCCCAACATAGTGGGGGAATAGTGTCCCATCATTGGTGTCAGTGGGGGAATAGTGTCCCATCATTGGTGTCAGTGGTGTCAGTCGGGGAGGAATAGTATGTCATTGGTGTCAGCGGGGGGGAATAGTGCCCTGTCATTGGTGTCAGTGGGGGGGATAGTACGTCATTGGTGTCAGTGGGGGGGAATAGTGCCCCATCTTTGGTGTCAGTGGGAGGAATAGTATGTCATTGGTGTCAGTGGGGGGGAATAGTGCCCCGTCATTGGTGTCAGTGGGGGGGGGGGGAGTGGGGGGAGGAATAGTGTCCCAATATTGGTGTCAGTGGGGGGAGGAATAGTGCCCCATTGTTGGTGTCAGGGGGGGGGAGGAATAGTGCCCCATTGTTGGTGTCAGTGGGGGGAGGAATAGTGCCCCATTGTTGGTGTCAGTGGGGGGAGGAATAGTGCCCCATTGTTGGTGTCAGTGGGGGGAGGAATAGTGCCCCATTGTTGGTGTCAGTGGGGGGAGGAATAGGCCCCATTGTTGGTGTCAGTGGGGGGAGGAATAGTGCCCCATTGTTGGTGTCAGTGGGGGGAGGAATAGTGCCCCATTGTTGGTGTCAGTGGGGGGAGGAATAGTGCCCCATTGTTGGTGTCAGTGGGGGGAGGAATAGTGCCCCATCATTGGTGTCATGGGGGGAGAATAGTGCCCATCATTGGTGTCAGTGGGAGGAATAATGCCCCATCATTGGTGTCAGTGGGAGGAATAATGCCCCATCATTAGTATCAGTGACACCAATGATGGGGCACTATTCCTCCCACTGACACCAATGACACTTAACTTTCTGACCCCTGTTCCAGCATGGTGCTGCTGCAGCCAGCATACCAGCTTGCAGCAGCACCATCTGCGCTGCACACTTACCGGGCGGTCAGCTGTCCTCTTTCATTCACTCCGGCCTCTCCCTCACTCGATGTTCGTGGGGCCACTTGGCTCTGCCTCCTCGCAGGTGATTGGCCACCTGTGTGCCTTTCCTGAGCTACAGTTATGGCGCCCAATCACCGGTGAGGAGGCGGAGCCGAGCGGCAGCAGCGCGAACATCGAGTGAGGGAGTGGCCGGAGTGAATGAAGGAGCAGCGCATCCTGGACTGGATCGTCGTGGGACTGGGACACGGAGCCAGGTAAGATACAGCAGTCCCCTGCCCACCCCTGTACTTAGTGTCCCTTCCTGGCGGCAAATACGCCCCTGCCGGCGGGCCGGATAAATGTCCTCGGCGGGCCGCATGTGGCCCTCGGGTTGTAGTTTGAGGACTCCTGGTTTAAGATTTGGTCACATACATAGATATAATCTACATCCCTTTTAATCTACAGAAGGGAAGGCTAAAACTTGCTCACATAGAGATTTTCCAGTTTGCTGTAAAATCTCTGTGTATGATAACAATTGCTTTGGATGGTCTGAACCTGTTGTTATTATCTAAATGGATTCATCATTGCAAGCAATGTTCTAATGGGGCACAAGACTTGCAAGGTTGCCTAAGCATGATTTTTATATTGTTTATTTACTTACTGTAAAAATCCATCAGCTGGACCCCCAATAAGCACATCAGAAATGACAATGGAAGGTTCACCATTTTCAAAGTGTGGATTATCTTTTCCCCCAGAGACTGCAATTCCAAAGCCTTTTTTGCTATCCTGTAAAAAGCAGAATATATGGAGTTAATAAATCTGGGTTAAACACTGACACTGACAAAAGTTTTAATTCTCCAAGAGAGATATTTTTTATATATGCTGGAGAGCTTAACCGCCTAGGTCTTAGACTTCAGAGGGGGGAAGCTCCAGGCTTCAGTCCTTAGCTTGGCACAAGGGCCACATCCATCATGAGGAGCTCCTTCTCCCTGTTAATGTTTTCATTTTTTTTTATAGCATGCAAAATGCAATAGGAAACAAGGGGACACCACAAGGTGGGCATAAACACCCAAAACTTCACAGCAATCAGGAACAAAACCTGCTTAAGTCCAGAAAGGATATTAAGTTCATCAAGCTGCATTTGAAACTTATTAAATATCACTTAACGTGTTACTAAACCCAGGACCCTGTATCCACTATATCTGCTCTCCCGCAGCACACAGAACATGGAAATGCGATTATTTTAGTAAATATATAAACTGCTAAATACCTTTTCTCAGCAGCAGTTGGAACAGTCTTGTGACTTTTATCAGTGTCCAGCAGAACACTGGTTAAAGCTTGTAGGAGGAGTTTTCTTTCTGCTCTAGGGGGATGCAGGACCCCAGACCTCTGTCTGGACAGTACTGATTGGCCCTCTGCTGATCACATGCACTCTCCCAAAAAAAAAAAAAAAACAAACACCTCTCTCTAGAAAAACACACCAAATTGACCATGTGCAGAGTGACTCCAAACTTCTGTTCTATCAGGAGATATTTAGGAGACAATGGAAGAAGGGGAGGATCAGATAAGAGAGACTAAAACCTCCTTTGTTCACAATGTGGAGGATTAACCCCTTAGATTCCACAGTGAGTATAACAAGCATGCTTTACTGCATGTACAGTCTGATTTTACTGTTGTGGGTTTAGTAACACTTTAAGAGTGCACTGATCCTTTATAAATAAAAATAAAGTGCCCGTTAACCCATCAAAGAGAGACAGTCCAGCAAAAGAAAGCACAAAGTGCCTGTGACCCTCTCCACCCCTATCCCTATCATGTAATAGTTTACCAATATCCAGTAGCACTCTAATTTTAGTAGTAATATCTGTTTCATATGATCAGAAGGTTTAAACAGTAAAAACCAGTAAACTATAAAAGCAGTTTTAATCTCATTCTAAGAGCTTTAATTACTTACTGACAGTCACCTTACTGGACTAAGGCTATGTTCACACTAGCTTTGTCAGCAGGCGTTAGACAGGCATTTGGGAAGCGTTTTTAATGTTCCTCAAACGCCTATGAAAATTCTATACATGGCAGCACACAGTGGTGTTCACACTGAAGTGTTAGCGTCGCGGCAAAATTGACGCCTCATGTCGAGTCAGGAGGAGTTGAAGCCTCCCATTCAAGTCTATGGTGACCTTCCTCAAATGCCTGGGACATGTTTGCGGAGCGTTAATACCATTAAACTTCATTGTAGGCATTTGTGGTGTGGTTTTAACACTTGGCAAACACCTATCAAATGCCTCAAAAACACTCATAGGGCGTTTGGCGAGTGTTAAAATGCTTCCCAAACGCCTGTCAGGGGCATTTGGCAAGCGTTTGAAATTAGTCAAGTGTGAACAAGTCCTTAGGAGACTTTGATAAGCACAATTGTCCTATTAAAATTGCTAATGTTTACTTGCCAAGAGTTGTAACTGTTGCCAAGAACGAATTGCTGTCTGTTTCCCCATTGTGTAGAGTTCCCTTCACTTCCTGTGTAGTCATGGGGGCAGGATCACAGTGCAGAAGTTCTAAAACTTCTGTTAGCTCAGGAATTCAGGGAAAATTCTGTCCTATCACCAGGATAGCAAGTGAGGGAAAAACGTGGACATGGACACCAATAAAACCATGTGTTTTTAAGTAGAGTCAATAAGCATAACAATTGGTCAGGTTTTATTGCTGTCTGTATACAAAATTGCAGAAATCTTCCCAACAGCAGTAATAATAAATACCTCCCCCCAATCCACAACTGACCCCCAGGTCCCAATGAACAGATCATGACATTTTGTGCATGAACCCTTTTATGAGTGTGTGCAATGATTTACAGAAAAGGATTCTATTTTCCTGCATGTGTCATGATGCAATGTCAAAAGGAGAACAACCTCACCTAAACGGAAAGGTGAACTTTGATTCTAAACTTCAATCCACACACTATGGTACAATCCCACACTTTATGTGCTCTCCCTGTACACAGGGAATTGAACAAGTACATTTTCAGTTTAGTATATGGTGTTGCGCTAATGATTTCAAAGTGGCACAGGGAAAATGGACACAGTAGTCTAGCAGAACACACCTGCATACAAACCAATCAGCTTCCAGGTTTCATTGTCAAAGCTTAATACAACAAGCTGAAGTTAAAAGCGATTGGCTACCGTGCACAGCTTCTCCAGATTTTGCACTCTCCAGTTTTAGTAAATCAAACCCATGGGGTGCCCGACAGGTCCAGCAGATGTTCATAGGCATTTCTTAAAGTGGAAATAAACTCCCACTGGACACTTGTACCTACAGGTGAGCTTATAATAAAACTTGCACGGTTTAGGAGATATTCAATGTCCCTGCAGCAGTGACAGTGCACCACTGGAGGGCTTCACTCTAACCCCCCAGTCACACTGGATGCGAATTGGCATGCGATTTGCATGTCATGCGATTTGCAAAACGCATGCCAAGTCACACCCTATTGTCCGCAATTACAGCGGTCATGTCGGTGCTGCACTGATTTGCAAAGTAGTACATGCACTACTTTTGGTGCAATTTAGATAGACATCTGTGTCAGATGTCTTGCAAACTGCACCTGAAATCAGCAGTTCACCCCACTTTGAAATCGTGCGACTTCACTGTAATTTGCACGATTTCAAAGTCGGGTTTGATGTGACCGGGGTGTAAGGCAAGTCTTTCATATATCGCATACCAATACATTATGACATTATTTTGCAGGAGATTTTTTCATTTGTTTACTACTGCTTTAAGTCGCTGGTCACACAGCTGCGATTTAAAATTGTGCAATTTGTGTGCAATTTCAGCACGATTTCATGTGCCATTTCTGAAGACTTTATTGCTACTTGTGAAGATATTCAACGATTTCTTGCAATTTGCAGTGCGATTTCCATTATATTCTATCTATATGAAATTGCAACAAAACTGCAGAAAGAGTAATGCAAGAACTACTTTTACTGCAGCAAACTGCATATGTTTAAAGCAGAGTTCCACTCACCCTGTCAAAGAATAAAAGTCAGCAGCTACAAAAACTGTAGCTGCTGACTTTTAAAAAACAGCCACTTACCTGTCCCTCGGTCTCGTGGTGTGTCCCCCGCAGCCCGTTTCACCGGCCGTCCTGTATTCCAGGAGGCCGGCATCTTCAGTGTGGGCATCCGGCTTCACAGCCGGGTACCCTTTGCGCATGCGCGAGTAGCGCTGCACTTCATGAATGGTCCTTTAGTCTTCTGGGACCTGTGACGTGTCCCAAAAGACTACAGGGAGGAGGACACCTTCCGCTTCCGATCGCCTAGGCGATCGGACCGGAAGTGGGAATGGGTACCTGTCAAATTCGGGTACCCGCTCCCCCCCACCCCTAAAGGTACCAATCCTTAATGGGGATTGGGAGACCAGTCCTTAAAGCGAAACTTCCCCTTTTGGGTGGAGCTCCACTTTAAGACATTGACATTCACATTCATTAGTTGCGATTTCCATTCGCAAATCGCACCGATGTGACCGGGCACTAAAACCTATAATGTTGTTATAGGTGTTCAGGCAGGTTTGAAAGGCAGAGTCAAGAGGAGGCCAACCAGGGAGCAGAGATTTCTCCACCCTCAGTGTGTGGAGAAGAAGGAACACTGTAGCAAAAGGAGATTTCAGACCAGGCAACCTCTCACTATTACAGTTGAGTAAAACCTTTGGGACTAAAGCTGGACTGGAATTTTGTTGCCTAACGATCAGCTCTGAAGTGGTACTAAAACCCAAAAACATAAATAGAATATATTGCAGCTTACCAATTCTTAGATGTGGTGGCTGCATTAGTTTTCTTTTTAGTGTTTTTTTTTACTTAACGGTCTCATTTTTCCAAGAGCATTGTCACATGATGGTGGAGCTCTAATACCAGCCAACATTGTGCAGCTCTAAAAGACAAAGGGGATGTGAGAATGATGTGTAGTAGGTTGGAGTTTGAGCATTAGTCCTCTTGCACATTGCTGCCTGAAAACTCAGAGTTTTTAAGCATACAAGCGTTTTATTTGTTACTGATCTAAATGCAGACCATTGTTTCCAATGTGCCTGTGTACACAGGCACGTAAAACATGCCTTGCATTAAGAAAAAAAAAAAAATCTGAGCAGCTGGTCAGTATTTTACGAGTGTACGTGCATTACATGTTAATTTGAAGGGGTTAAAATTCAATTCTCAGAGCTAGAATTTAGTTTACAAATATGAGAGAAATAAAACGCAAGAAATCTGAGACAGGAATACTAATATTAAAAACATCAGTACCATTTGCAAGTATACTTAAGGAGGCCCTGGGCAAGGTGACAGGGTCTCCTTACGCACTTTCACTCGAAAAAACTCCATCAGAGAGACTAAGTACCTAAAGAAATACCATTTCATTCATCTTAGTAAAGCTGTAAATGCACAAAATACTTTATAGTCATGTTATGGCAAAAGAAATGATAAGACATTGCAATTACTCAAGGGAAGATTTTAAATGAGGCTTACCTTCTGCAAGGTCACTGTGTACTGCTCCCATATGGTCTCTTCCATGCTGGAGGCCTAAATCAAAGACAGTAAACAATCATTAGGCCTCTAAGAAAAAGTTATAGTGCAAAAGGTGATAACATGTATGTCTGTGCAAACTGTAACATCTGGTTATAATACAAGACATATTACAGGGTATACTGTATTTACCCAAAACAAAAAAAGCTACATATTTTACTCTTTATAATTGAGCCTGGCATTAAAGAGGAGTATTTTTCAAGTACATATCGAGTTTCAGTTTTGAGTGTAGAAGTGTCAGAATCCCTGTCAGAATGTTAATGCTATCTAAAACTATTTTAGGTTCTCCATATTCTAGTGAAATACACACACACACACACACACACACTTTTGAAAATATTTTATTCTATCTTTTCATGTGACAACACTGAAGAAATGACACTTTGCTACAATGTAAAGTAAGTGAGTATACAGCTTGTATAACAGTGTAAATTTGTTGTCCCCTCAAAATAACTCAACACACAGCCATTAATGTCTAAACCGCTGGCCACAAAAGTGAGTACATCCCTAAGTGAAAATGTCCACATTGGGCCCAATTAGCCATCCCCCAATGTCATGTGACTCGTTAGTGTTACAAGGTCTCAGGTGTGAATGGGGAGCAGGTGTGTTAAATTTGGTGTTATCACTCTCACATACTGGTCACTGGAAGTTCAACAGGGCACCTCATGGCAATGAACTCTCTGAGGATCTGAAAAAAAGAATTGTTGCTCTACATAAAGATGGCCTAAGCTATAAGAAGAAAGCCAAGACCCTGAAACTGAGCTGCAGCACAGTGGCCAAGACCATACAGCAGTTTAACAGGACAGGTTCCACTCAGAACAGGCCTTGCCATGGTCGACCAAAGAAGCTGAGTGCACGTGCTCAGTGTCATATCCAGAGGTTGTCTTTGGGAAATAGACGCATGAGTGCTGCCAGCATTGCTGCAGAGGTTGAAGGGGTGGGGGGTCAGCCTGTCAGTGCTCAGACCATATGCTGCACACTGCATCAAATTGGCCTGCATGGCTGTCGTCCCAGAAGGAAGCCTCTTCTAAAGATGATGAACAAGAAAACATGCAACCAGTTTGCTGAAGACAAGCAGACTAAGGACATGGATTACTGGAACCATGTCTGATGAGACCAAGATAAACGTATTTGGGTCAGATGGTGTCAAGCGTGTGTGGCGGCAACCAGGTGAGGAGTACAAAGACAAGTGTGTCTTGCCTACAGTCAAGCATGGATGGTGGGAGTGTCATGGTCTGGGGCTGTATGAGTGCTGCCGGCACTGGGGAGCTACAGTTCATTGAGGGAACCATGAATGCCAACATGTACTGTGACATACTGAAGCAGAGCATGATCCCCTGCCTTCAGAGACTGGGCCGCAGGGCAGTATTCCAACATGGTAACGACCCCAAACACACCTCCAAGATGATCACTGCCTTGCTAAAGAAGCTGAGGGTAAAGGTGATGGACTGGCCAAGCATGTCTCCAGACCTAAACCCTATTGATCATCTGTGGGGCATCCTCAAACGGAAGGTGGAGGAGCGCAAGGTCTCTAACATTCCACCACCTCCGTGATGTCGTCATGGAGGAGTGGAAGAGGACTCCAGTGGCAACCTGTGAAGCTCTGGTGAACTCCATGCCCAAGAGAGTTAGGGCAGTGCTGGAAAATAATGGTGGCCACAGAAAATATTGACACTTTGAGCCCAATTAGGACATTTTCACTTAGGGGTGTACTCACTTTTGTTACATTGTAGCGAAGTGTCATTTCTTTAGTGTTGCCACATGAAAAGATATAAAATATTTACAAAAATGTGAGGAGTGTACTCACTTCTGGGAGATACTGTATATATATATATATATATATATATATATATATATATGTATACACACACACATACATATAAAAAATAAATTTTCTAGCAAAGTCAACACAAAGACACAATCAGACAGTAGTACCTACGGGACAAAAAGGTGTTTACCCTATGTCTATAGTTAGGGTCCAGAGGAAAACTCCAGAAAGCCGACATGTGTAAATGTTAGGGAGGTTAAATGCAATGTGTAAATTACACTTACCTATGTAACATCTTTTGCTACATATGCCCATTCAAAATCTAGGCTCTCCCAGCTGGTCACCTGTTGCTCAAAGTACTAATGACCTCTGTGTTCTTACCAATCAGAATGTCCCCAGAGACTACATACAGTGAGGAAAATAATTATTTGATTCCCTGAAGATTTTGTAAGTTTGCCCACTTACAAAGAATTGAAGGGTCTATAATTCTTATCATAAGTTTATTTTAAATGATAGAGACAGAATATAAGCCAAAATTCCAGAAAAAAAAAAAAAACCAAAAAAAAAAAAAAACCACAAGATACAAGTGTTATAAATTGAGTTGCAGTTCAGTGAGAATAGGTATTTGATCCCCTACAAACCAACAATAATTCTGGCTCCCACAGACTGGCTATGTGCTCATGTGGTACACAGATTTGTCCTGTCAATTTAAGAAGGTGCCCGTAATGACAACTCTTTGTATATAATAGACACCTTTCCACAGAATCTCTCTTTCTTCCATTCAAACCTCACCACCATGGATAAAACCAAAGAGCTGTCAAAGACAAGATTGTAGACCTGCACAAGGCTGGAATGGGCTACAAGGGCAATCAGCCTGAAGCTTGGTGAGAAGACAACTGTTGGAGAGATTATTTGCAAATAGAAGAAATACAAAATTACATTAATTGCCTTCAGTCTGGAGCTCCATGCAAGATTTCACCTCATGGGGTAAGGATGGTCAAAAAGAGAGGGATCAGGCCAGAATACACGGGAAGAGCTTGTGAATGATCTCAAGGCAGTTGGGACCACAGTCACCAAACAAACCATGGGTAACAATACGCCACCATGGACTGAAATCCTACAGTGCCTGCAAGGTCCTCTTCCTCAAGAAGGCACATGTACAGGCCTATCTGAAATTTGCCAATGAACATCTAAATGATTCAGAGGAGGATTGGGAGAAAGTGCTGTGATCAGTTAAGACCAAAATTGAGCCCTTTGGCATTAACTTAACTCGCCATGTTTGCAGGAAGAAAAAATGCTGACAATGACCCTAAGGACGCCATCCCTAAGGTCAAGCACAGCGGTGGAAACATTATGCTTTGGGGCTGTTTCTCTGCTAAAAGATATAGGCCGACTTTGCTGCATTGAGGGGCCAATGGACGGGGTCATGTATTGTAAAATCGTGGATGAGAACCTTTTTCCCTCAGCCAGAACACTGAAGATGGGATGGGTCTTCCAGTATGACAATGATCCAAAACATACTGCCAAGGCAACAAAGGAGTTGGTCAAGAAGCACATTAAGGTCATGGAGTGGCCTAGCCAGTCTTCAGACCTTAATCCTTCCTCCCGAGAACATCTTACCTCTGTGCTTGTCATCAAGGGTTTCTCCACCAAGTACCAAGTCATGTTTTGCTTGGGGATCAAATACTTATTTTACTCAGCGAACTGCAACTCAATTTATAACATTTGTATCATGTGTTTTTTTATGGATTTTTTTTGTTGATATTTTATCATTTAAAATATTCATATGGTAAAAATAATAGACCCCTTATTTCTTTTGTAAGTGGGCAAACTTACAAAATCTGCAGGGGATCAAATAATTCTTTTAACCACTGTATGTCTGCCATGATCAATGAGAGAGTTCACAGAGACTACAGGGGTCTGCTCTGACCAATTGGAAAATCCCTAGAGTTTACAGGGGTCTGCTCTCACCAATTAGAAAAATCTCCAAAGATTACAAGGGTCTGCTATGATCAGAAAATCATAAGAGACTATAATGGCCTGACCACCCTTTTTCTAATTATGTAGAACACAGTACAGGAACCAGAAGCATGCCTAGCTGTGGGTGAACAGAAGTAAAAGCAGATAAGCAGAGGCATTTGAAGCAAAGGACACAACAAGCCTATATATATATATTTGTAGCAGAGGCATTTGAAGCAAAGGACACAACAAGCCTATATACACACACACACACACACACACACATAACTCTTACATCCCTAACTTTTACAATCAACTTTGTAGGGTTCATTAAAAAAAGAAAATCTTACAAATGTGTGCATTTAATAGTATATATGTAGTCTATATTTTTTATTATTATTATACAGGCTTTTTATAGCGCCAACAGCGCTTTACAATATAACGGGAGACAATACGGCAACAATACAGTTCAATACAAGAGGGTTAGGAGGGCCCTGCTCCTTGGAGCTTACAATCTAAGATTTATATGTCTATCTACATCTAATTATCTAAGGGCAGTTTTTTGTTCTCTTATTTCAATAATTAAGAACAAGAGACTTCCCTGCAGTAATAGTTATCAAACGGAGAGACCATGTGTTCTTGACTGCCTAGGCTGGAGGCTGAAGCAAGAAATCTTTACTCATGGCAAGAAAGGTATGGGATTGAGCACATCTGGTATTTTCTTTTCTTTTACTATGACAGAAGCTCCTTTGATTTTGTATTAATTGCTGCATGCAGAATGTGGAAGCGTGGGTGTGTGTCTGAAGGATAAAAATATTTTATGTGTAATGGCAAGCTGTGTCCACACCTCATGTAGGAAGTATAGTATTATGATCTAACTTTCTGTGACAAAACAAAGGCAAGAACCTGAAGATTCCGTCTGCATGAAGAAGGAGTATGTTAAAATATTGGAATACAATGAATCTGAAAAGAATTGCTCAACTGCCCATCTGTGTCATTTGGAGGATGCAGACAAGAAAAATTTAAAAACTGATGGTGTGATTTCTAGATACCTGTCAGGTGACATGGATTACTAGGTCCCTAATCAACGGTCGCTAAACTACAAAAAGCAGAGACTGACTCGAAATAAAACTTTACCCAGCTTATTCATTCCTTTGTCCCAACTCTAGTTAACCACTTGCCCTCCAGAGGATTTACCCCTCTTCCTGATCAGGCCATTTTTTGCATTACGGCGCTGCGTCACTTTAAATGACAATCACACAGTCATGCA